TGATGTTTCCTGATGCTCCTTTGAATGCCCCGCAGATGATGCCAAGGAAAATCTCTCCCGGTTAATTTCGCTTCGTCTCAAATCTGATTTGGCTATGCATCGCAATGGGGAACCTCCTTGAACATGGTTAGTGGATAAGTTCCCACCTGAACGATGTGCACTGCAAAATCCCCAATTAAAATGAATTCGCATTTGAAGCCTGCTCAAGCGAACCGCCGCAACCCCCTGACGAAGTTTCCGAGGTCACCATTGGCAGCGCTGCCAGCGCTGCTCTGAAGAAAGATGTACTGCAATGGGTGATCTCCGGGGACATCAAGATCCAGGACGCCCAGTAGGTTCTACCCCTAAAGGGAGGGGGGGGGGGGAGTGGGTAAACGGGGAGCATTGAGGAACCTTGAGGTTTTTAAGGTTCCGTAGGGAGCCGGGGAGCCTGGAGGAAGCCTGGGCTATTTTCCCTGGATGCAGACATGAAGCCCTTCAGTCAGGGATCTTCATAGCGACCTTCCAAAGACACTTAGTGAGGGGGAGCCAGGGGAAGGACGGAGAGTCACCAACAGTGCGATAGAACCTCTGGACAAGGTGTCACGAGAAACCCTCACCCGGGAGTAAAGCCAGCTCACCCATCAAGGGTCCTTTCCACAGGGGGGTTTAAATGGTCAAAGGACCTCCCTGCAAGCTACTTTAGCCCTCATGCTTAGTAACTTCGCCGGATTCATGCGTTGATTCATTCGTGTGGTTCTTCATGTGCATGCGCAGAAAGGAGCACAAGCTAATAGGTGCAAAATGGTTGAAACGGCCAGATCTTGGCCAATCTCTTTGAGCACTTTTAAGGAGGCCACGAAACGAGGCTATGTTGGCAATAGAGGTGTTCACTCTTGGTGGTTCGTTTGAACATAGAGGTTTGCTTGACCTTTTGGTTTAGTCATTGGCTTGAGTCGCCGGAAGCTCGCGATTGAGGACTTCTTCTATCCTCTGAACTCTGTAGCTGCGTCCTCGAAAGAAGCCGTGGAGTTCACCTGGGAGTTCTACAAGGCCAACTTCGAGAAGATCTGGACGCCTGGCTGCTGGAGTTGCCGGAAAAAGGGGGCAAACCACGGGGAGCAAAATTTTTGCGGGTTTCGAATTTTCGTTTTTTGGGGGATTTTTAGTCGGTTGCAACTGCAGGACGGAGATTCTCCCAAAGACCTCTCGGGATACGGACTGTTCAGGCCTTTTTGCTGGCCTCATTGTTGGCGTAAGGCTCGTTAAGCCCGATTCAACCCTTGTGGGTTTTTGAGACTTGGTTTGTGAGGTTTCTGCATTTAGTTGAATTTCAAGATTTCCCTCTCTTCCGTTGAAGCAGGGGCAAACTGCTCCTTTGGACCAACAGCTGCATTGCCAGGCTGTTCAACTGCCATCTGCAAGATTATGCCCTTGGGTTGCCAATGGTTCATGGTGAAGATGGGGTTGCCAATGGTTTATGGTTTCGCTTGCAATCGACCGCGAATGGGTAAGGCCTGATTTAGTTTGGCTTCGCTGTAGTGTTAAGGAGGCCGGGTACCTGATATGAGGTGAAGAAGCTTGAGAACAACACGCTTGGGAGATGCAAGTGATTGAGTTACAACCAGTGTTTCAAGAATTTTGGAAGCATGCTGCCGCCTCAAGTATGGCTTTGAGGCAACTGCATGGAATGCCTGGCACTATTGTTTTTGCCCCAATTTGGCCGCGTTCGGTTTGTCTTGTATCGCCTTTTGCCACCTGCTTGGCCTTCCCCATTTTTCCTTCTATGAATGACTCAACCTTGGTTCGCCTTATTTCTCGCGTGCCTTTTTGTCCTTGTTTGTTCTTGCTTAGTTTGATTAGTTCAAGTGTGGTTTATCATTGTCTGTTGATTAGTCCTATTTGACCTGAAGCAGCCTAGCAGCACTTATTTACCCCTTTCTCACTTGAGGTCCTTTGAGGGTGGCATGCCTCGTGGTGTCTTTGGGGTGCCGGGCTTGAGCGCTGTCGACTGAGGGGCATGTGCAAAACCGCAAGCCCCTCCTTGATGGATGTCGGAGCCTCAGATCGCTCGGGTAACCCCAGCCCGCGTTGGGCAGGGCCTCTTGTTCCCGCTGCTGGGCGTGCCATACTCCTGCAGTTGGTCACCTTGCGGGCTCCATTTTTTGTTGTTCCCTTTGCTGGGCTCCTCTGTATGTTGAGGGAGGTTTCTTGCTTTCGAGAGAAACTGAGGTTGCTCCCTGTTGCTCCTTGGGCCTTCAAAAACTGGCCGGAGATTCTACAGGGTTGCCATTCCACTGTCCCAGGCCGTAACTCCACCCCCCCCTTGTCACACAGTACCTAGGTACCGATCTCCGGTACGTCTTGTTTTGAGGGTACCCTGTTGAGGGTTGGATTTAAGCCTTGGAAACCCCCTTTCCATGTTGGGGCCTTTAACGAACCCCCGGTCCCTATCAATTTCTCCGACTTCAGTCTCCTTGTTCCATTTTCCTTTTGGCGTTTACTCAAAGAAATACCCATGAAAAACTCATAGACAAAAATATATGGCAACCATATGAACATCTAACTGAAACGAACCTGCAGCAAACCCTTGGGCTACCCTCTCCCCCCTCCAAAATTAGACATCGATAAAGAACAAGGAAGGGTGTTCCAACAATGAAGGGTCTTCCAAAGCCATGGGGAAACAAAGAACAGGGTGCTGGAAAATCCACCCACCCGCACCTCCCAAAAAAGCAAAACACAACAAAAACAAAACAACAACAAGTTCCCAACAAAAAGCGAAGCCAAGTCTTCGGGTTCTCCCCGTTGTCCCCCTGCCAAGTTCCACCCAACTCCCTTCCGCTCCAAGAGGCCATGATCGCGGGCTCCGCGCGGGGCTTCTGCACCTCGGAGAAGGCCGCCGAGGTGGAGCAGCGCCTCGGAGACGACCCCACCGAGACCCTTTGGGTTCGGGGGGATTGGATTGATTCCCGGGGATTCCTTTATAGGAGTTCGATAAAGTTTTCTTTCTGTGGTTTTGCCTTGCTTGCAAGAAAAACAGATAGGTGTTTTTCTGATGGTTTTTGGGTGGTTGTCTTGTGGTTTCTCATGCGGTTCCTGTATTTCCATTGGTGTCCTATGACTTTTTGTTGTCGGTTGTCCATAGTGGAAAGCCAACCCAAGGAACACCGTCCCCATGTGTGGGCTAAGAATGCTCAGGTGACTAAAGTGATTCACTTGGGGCAAGACACCCTTGCCACTTAACGGCAAGTTGGAAACGGCATGTTCCGTGGAGTTCACCAGCCGTTGGCACTCGTTCGGCACTCTTTTGGTGCTCGTGTCGCAGTCAAGGGGAAGGCTACGGGTGGAACCGGCATCCAAAACAGCCCATTTTGCACTGCAGGTTCTACAAGGAGCACTACATGAAGCAGAATCAGAGGACCATTACGCAGACGCTGGCCGCTGGACGGCACTTGGAGAAGGGAGCTGGTCAGATATCATCAACCCCCCCAAACCCAAGGAGCACCCCCAACAGCCTGAGAACCTTCCCAAAACCTGTGCGGAACCCAGAACCCACCCCAGGGCCTCCAGCCAACGCCGCTGTTGAGACACAAGCCCCCCCCCCTTCCGCCCCCCGAAATCTAAGGCCTTGGTAAGGCCTTAGTAACCGTTTTCCCTGGAGGAGTTGTTGGGCTGGTTTCGTTTTGGCGCCGGGAGCTCTGGTTCTGAACATCGCAGGCCATTGTCGGATG